CATGTCAAGAAAACAAAAGTAATGGGATGAAAGCCTGTTTGTGTGAGACTGTGGGAGTGTGCACTTCACTAGGGCTCAGGAGGTAAAAGTGGTCACAGTAAAGCTGGAGGTGTGCCTGTTGGTGTGACAGGGCTTGTGTGACGGTGTCTAGGGAGACTGTCTCTAGGAGGTGTATGTACTGTGGGTACAAGTGTTTGGAGATCTTTCTCTGAAGACGCTCATCCCGAGAGATGTGCAACAGTCTACGTATGTAGGAAAGCGTGTGTGTACAGCGTGAGCGTGTGCCCATGAGGACGGAGCTGAGAGCTAGGCGGGCAGGCTGCCTGCTTCACTGGGACTTTCATGCGAATGAGATAATGAGGTGAGCGGTACAGCCTGTGCCCATCCGCAGGGCACTGGGGTCTTGCACCCTGGAAATCTTTATGCAACGTGAGATTCTTGGGCACTCTAAAGCCTGGAGGCAGGAGACCTTTGCAGGGCATCAGTACTTATGGTGGCTTTTTCAAGTGCTAGTTATGCAGGGGCTGAACACTGCTCCTGCCCTTGCTTTCCCTGCTTTCCACTGCAGCAGGTAAGTCTGACCAGTGCTTAGGTGAGGACGTGTTCCCACACCTATATTTGAACCCCATAAGGCAGCAAAATATAGAGTATGCCAGAGGCAGAGGAGCTTGGCTAGTTGCCCCCTGCTCATTACAGTATCAAGCATTTATATATCCCCTTACAGTATTTTCTGATTCCATAATGCTAGTGGGATTTGAATGTAGATAATGTTTCTAATCTTGACAATCCTCTTGGCTCAGGACCTTGGGACAGAGGCAGCTGTAATGTAAGAATACAGCCCCTCCTCCTCCTCCTCCTCCTGCTCCCTTTAAATTCATATCCCTTGAAGTCTTACCCAGCCAGAGCCCTTGCCTTTGTGTCAGCCTCTATAGCTAGTAATTTAGCTTCAACAACTGCGTGGGGAGATGGAGGGGAGAAGCTGCACTGGAAGAACTGGACCTTACTGGTCATGTAGTCCCGAAAGTATAACAGGAGCTTTGGGCAGGCAGAGCTGGCTGAGAGCATAAGCAAAGGTCCCAGTAGCTTGTAAGCTCGTATCCCACGCACATTTTGCATACTTCCTCTCATGGGCATGAAGCTTTTGCAATGCACACTTTCTAGCCTCAGGATCACAGGCTGTGTCCTGTGCAGCCTTGGGAAAAGGAGGTATGAGTTTGGGATCACCCCTCCTTTCTCCCACTTCCCTCAGGTAATAGCCATACTTGAATTTGGGTAAGCCTGAGGGAGTGCATGACTCTCTGGGATGTGTGAGAGGTGCCAGCCCAAAGTGAAGCTTGAGTACCACCAAGTAAGCAAGCACCACCTCATCTTGGATGGTGTCAACAGTTACAGGCAATCTGAATAATGGGGATGGAAAGAAACAACACCCTGCCAGAACACCTCAGCTTCGCTACCTGTCTGCCCCTAGGTGTGATGCTAGGAAGCTTTTAGGAGATTTAAGAAGTCCCACTGGGTCATTCTGAAGTCCTAAGGTACAGAGCAGCAGAAGTGTCACCAGCTGCCTGACCATGCTCCTATTCCAGCTGCAGATAACACTGATGGTGCCAAACCCTGCATTTGGTGTCAGTTTTGCTGCTAAATGGCAGACAAAATCCTGCAGAGAGGATTACAAATGGGGGTGGGAGGGGTGGATGTCGCAGCATGGTCAGTTTTCATTGTGGAGTGACATTATGGCTTTCTGGCCTGGATTTTCTTCCCACTTCTCTAGCACCTGCCTGGAGCTCCCACAGACAGTAGAGCTCATCTTCCCCAGCCGCTCAGGCTGGGAGGCAGGGCACTGGGGACATTTGGGTCTCTGTGATAGCCACCGTGAGTAAACTTCTCTTAAGCTTGGGGAGCTTTCTGTTTCCCTAGCTGGCAGCAGTGGAAGAACAAAACTCAAGCAGTCCAAGGAGGAGAGCAACAGGAGATGATGAGGGAACGTCCCTCAAGCAATTTCTGCTGTTTCTCTGCTACTCTCTTTAGAGCTGCAGTTTATGTTGATAGTCAGAACCAGCTTGATGTAATGATGAGGGATTTGTATCCCAAAATGTTAAGTTTTCATTTTCAGAAACAGCAGGAGGAGATGGCAAAAAGTCTAGGCTATTTCTCCTAAAGCTTTGAATCCTTATGCAGGACTCATGCCTTCATGCTACAGTCGCCTTCTTTGTTGTTTGAGCTGATAGGCACTTTGTTGGAGAGCAGAGAGGGTTATCTCTCCTTCCTAATGCTGTGCTGTCTCCTCTAGCATCCCCTTGCATACCCCACTAGTAACATTTTGGGTTCTTGCATAATTCAGGCTG